ATATGCCTAAGAGTGGAGTTGCTGGGTCTTGTGGTAGGTTTATTCCCATTTTTCTGAGGACTCTCCATACTGATTTCCAAAGTGGCTGTATGAGTTGGCACTCCCACCAGCAGTGGAGGAGTGTTCCCCTTTCACCACAACCTCTCCAGCATAAATTGTTGGTGTTTTTGATTTTAACCATTCTGACAGGAGTAAGATGGTATCTCAGAGTTGTTTTGATTTGCATTTCCCTAATGGCTAAGGATGTTGAATACTTTCTCAAGTGTGTCTCAGCCATTTTAGATTCCTCTATTGAGAATTCTCTATTTAGTTCTGTAGCCCACTTTTTAATTGGATCCTTTGGTATTTTGGAGACGTGCTTTTTGAATTCTTTGTAAATTTTGGAGATCAGCCCTCTGTCAGATGTGGGGTTAGTGAATATCTTCTCCCATTCTGTGGGCTGCTTTTTTGTCTTGCTGACTGTGTCCTTTGTCTTACAGAAGCTTCTCAGTTTCAGGAGGTCCCATTTATTAATTGTTGATCTACTGTCTGTGCTACTGGTGTTATGTTCAGGAAGCTGTCTCCTGTACCAATTCGTTCAAGGGCACCACCCACTTTCTCTTCTAAGAGGTTCAGTGTGGCTGGATTTATGTTGAGGTCTTTGATCCATTTGGACTTAAGTTTTGTACATGGTGATAGACATGGATCTATCCACATTCTTCTATATGCCAGTATCCAGTTATGCCAGCACCATTTGTTAAAGATGCTTTCTTTTTTCCATCGTATATTTTTAGTTTCTTTGTTGAAGATCAGATGTTCATACATGTATGGGTTAATATCAGGGGGTCAGTTAGATTCCATTGGTCTATCTGTCTATTTTTGTGCCAATACCAAACTGTTTTCAGGACTACAGCTCTATAATAGAGCTTGAGGTCAGGGATGGTGATGTCTCCAGATGTTGCTTTGTTGAGTAAGGTTGTTTTGCCTATCCTGGGTCTTTTGTTTTTCCATACAAAATTGATTATTGTTCTTTCAAGGACTGTGAAGAATTGTGCTGGTATTTTAATTGGGATTGAATTGAATCTTTAGATTGCTTTTGGCAGGCTTGCCATTTTTACTACATTGATCCTATCTATCCAAGTGCATGGGAGATCTTTCCATTTTCTGAGGGCTTCTTTAATTTCTTTCTTTAAAGACTCAAAGTTCTTGCTATACAGGTCTTTCACTTGTTTGGTTAGTGTTACCCCAAGGTATTTTATGTTGTTTGTGGCAATTGTAAAGAATGATGTTTCTCTGATTTCTTTCTCAGCCCTTTTATTGTCTGTATATAGTAGGGCTACTGATTTTCTTGAGTTGATCTTGTAGCCTGCCACTTTGCTGAAGGTGTTATTCAGCTGTATGAGTTCCCTGGAAGGGTTCTTTGAGTCATTTATGTAAACTATCATATCATCTGCAAATAGTGAAAGTTTGACCTCTTCCTTTCCAATTTGTATCCCTTTGATCTCCTTTTGTTGTCGCATGGCTCTACGTAGAACTTCAAGCACAATATTGAAAAGGTATGGAAAGAGTGGACAGCTTTGTCTTGTTCCTGATTTTAGTGGAACCACATTGAGCTTCCCTCCATTTAGTTTGATGCTGGCTGTTGGTTTGCTGTATATAGCTTTCATTATGTTTAGGTATGTTCCTGTTATCCCGGATCTCTCCAAGACCTTTATCATGAAGGGGTGTTGGATTTTGTCAAAGGCTTTTTCTGCAATGAGAGATCTCTTAATATTACTAACTTTTACCTAATGTCACTCTTGACACACTAAGAACTTTAAGTTGATTTTGTCATAGTGGACTAGCTGTGGTGAGTCTGGTTCCTTGGTACCTGGTCCCAATTTCAAGCCCAAGGATTGTAGCTCCTGCCAAAAGAGCAGGCTCTTTACTCTCCAGTCAAAACTGGCAAGTCATAAAACTAGTGCACAAGGTAATTGGTTTGTTTCAAGGAACACAAAGACAGAACACACAAAAATAAGAGAAAGGGATATGTGGGTATATAGGCAGAAGTAGATAAAACTACTTGAGCCAGTGTTAGTCATGAACCAAACATATGCTCATGAATAAAATCCTATAGCTGGTTGCAGAGTTTGGCCCCTTTCACGATGACAATGGAAAAGGTCTGGATTGCCCTCAAGTCACCAGCATTGAAGAAAAGAACTCATTTGTTCCAACAGAGCCTCCACATACACAGCTCAGAGGGGGTGACAGGACTGAGTAAGGAGATGTGCGTGTCACAAATGGCACCCTGAATCACTGGTCATTATGGTATAAGGAAAAGTCATATCTAAAAGGCCTGCATCCCAGCAGTCTCATTTGCATATCGACCTACAGTTGTCAATGTGCTTGCCACTGTGTTGTCGAGACGACAGATCAGTTCTTTGCCTCAGTTACAGCTTGATTGACAAGAGGGTGTTCAAAGTGGAGTTAGTACCGTCAAAGCATAGTCACAATAATCATAATTAAAATACCAGTTTATTCACATTTGAAAGAGCCATAATACAGCAAACCGCACATTACGACATGGTTTCCATTTCACAGGCCACTTCTGAACAATGCTCACGTGTCTTGTTTTTTAGTGTGTGTATGTGTGTTGTATGTGTGTGCATGAGTTAGGGACTGTTAGGTCTCAAACCTGGGACAGCTAAATGAGGTGCCTATTAACACATCAGAGCAGACACTATCCTCCAGTCTCTTGCAGCAGCTCTAGTAACCATTTCAGAGACATCCTCGTTGGCATACCCCACTCCTACTCTGAACTCTCCAGCCCAGGGACTGGACTGGGCCCTTTCCCCTAGCTTCTCTTCCCTACATAACCCAGTCATCTTGGCTACATGGTCCTTTTTGTTTCCTGGCCTGTTGACTCTCTCCTGACCTCTTGGCCCCTGGTTCTTCTCTTTTTCTCTCTGGCTAGTCCTCCCACAATGGCCTGGGTCAGTTTGGACCGTTCCAGATACCTCTGGGTGTGGTCTGCCTTGTATCTATTATAAAAAATTCAGCCCCTTAGGGGCAGTAGTGTCCTCCTTTTATTTATTTTTCATTCAAGGACATCCTCGGGTATAATTCTCAGGGACACTATCTATCTCCTTTCAGTCAGGGTCTCTCATGGGTCTGGAGGACATCAGTCAGGCTGGGCTGGCCAGACAAGAAGCTCCCAAAGATCCACCTGTCTCTACTTCCCCAGTGCTGGGCTTGCAAGCATGTGTCATCACACGTGACATTTCTAGGTAGGTTCTGAGTATCAGTCTCAGATTCTCAAGCTTTACCATCTCCCAGATCCCCATGAATGTCTTTTTATGGACATTAGCTCACGTGTCTAACAATTCGATCAGACTTCTTAGTACTTTCTGAATCTCTGCTCGATACATGAATTAAGCCTTATGTGAACTGAATAACCCGCATGCGTTTTGTGAAGTGCCAAGAGAGCCAGCTCTCAGCAGGTCAGAGAAACTGAAGAGGAGATGTGGAGTTGGTGAACTGCTGGACAGACATACAGACACACATGGGCACTTTATCTGAGAGGCAAAGCTTAATTCTTCAATTTTTCTCTCTATGCCCTTACTCTGTTCTTCCACTGCTCTGTTCTTCATTTAATTTTAATTATTCATTCATTCAGTTTTCTCTCTATGCCCTTACTCTGTTCTTCCTCCCAGTTGTTTTCCTTCCTCCCCATCGTTCTCCTGCATCCTCTCTTATTTTTTTCTTATCCCTCCTAAGACAAATATTTCTATGCAAGAAAAGATTACCTCACAGCCACAAGCTACATATTTTCCAAAAGCAATTAAAATCTTTACACAGGAAGAAATAACATTAAGATCACAAATTACATGTCTTTCTTAGAAGCCCACAAATAGACATTTTTCCTTGTATTAATTTTCCCGCTGCATTATCTTCACCCCAAAGCAATGATTCTTTTATAATTGATTAACAAAGATTTAAGCAAGCCAGGTATATTTCAGCCAGGGCCATTTGTAGTGTCAGGTGGCAGTTTGCGGTTTCAGATCCCTATCCTTTTTCTACTCAACAAAAACTTTGAGTGTGTGGTCAGCTGTCTGTTTTTCTTTACACACAATGGGTCATTTAATTTCCTTTCACATTTTTTCAAGATTCATACTGAAACCTGTGATTAATTCTGTAGTTACATGACCCAGGAACTCAGTCCTGACTCTGGGTGCAGAGACGTGACTACTTTCTTCTATCATCAGCCTGTTTCTCCACAGGCAGACAGAATTCACAGGTCTGTAATGCACGAAGCATCCTTGTTCTTATTTTCCATTCTCTGCAAATCTCACATCTAACAAAGGGGAAGGTGACTTCTAGCCTATCTTTGCCCTCTTGTTTTTGTATCTCTTATTAGAGCAATTGGCAGAATAACCTAACTACTTCCCTAATCATCTTCACTAAATGTCTTGGCAACCTCTATCTTCTAGGCTGACTCCAAAAGTTTAATTAAATCATAGATCTAAGTAAGCATCATTGCTCTTATAAAAATCACCTTCATTATGATCTGCAAGTAAATTGCCCAGTGAGGCATGGGATTTTCCCATAAAATAATCACACTATACTACATACAGGGGGATCAGGCCACATACTAATCAGATCATGCCAAACACAGCAGGAACACGGCACAGCAAGCAGGAGCAAGGGGCCTGTTGGGAACAATCCTTCTGGGGCTTTGCCTCTCTAGGGTTTATTCATTGTAGCTTGGCTATTCCGTGATTGAACTCCATAAGCTCCATTGTTGGCTGGAGCTCCTCTGGCATGGCCCCTAATAGTGAAGGAACACTTAATTTGAGTAAGGCTTACAGATAAATTTCTTTGGAGGAGGGAGAAATTTCCACATTGGGAACTGAGCAAAAGATGAACCTCTTCTTGTCAGAGTTTTCAGGAACAATTTAAGGCATGTTTCTCAATTTCCTCTTTCCCATGTCTTTAAATCACTGGAAACCAGTTCAGATTGTGACTTCTTCTTTGTGTGTCCAGTGTTGACCATCTCTGGGCCATTTAGCTCAGAGCATGTAGAGGTTGACTCTGAGCTCTGGCCAGGTCCCTGAGTCAGATCTTGGAGAAACAGACACAAGAAGTCTTGACCTTCTGCACATAGAGCTAAACAATGGTGCAGGAAAGACATTGCCAAGGTGGAGGTGAGCATTCCTGTCTCAGTTCCAGAGATGTGTGAAGTGATGTGTAGTGGCTTGGGGTAAAGAGACAGACAATGGACAGGCTGAAGTGACAGAATGGACCAAGGCAGCAAGACATCACATATTGAAAGGGGATGTGAAAAGATAGGCCATCAATGGAAGAAGGTGATACTTAAAAAGGGTGTGAGAATTGCAGCTGCCCGATGGAGGACTTTTTCTCAATTTGTGTGTGTGTGTGTGTGTGTGTGTGTGTGTGTGTATGTGTGTGTGTTTGTGTGTATGTGTGTGTGTGTTTGTGTGTATGTATGTATGTGTGTGTGTTTGTGTGTATGTGTGTGTGTGTGTGTGTGTGTGTGTGTGTGTGTGTGTGTGTGTGCGCTTCAGAGCTGACTTGGTCATTTATTATGGGGTTTTGACAGCTTTTTCCTGCTCTTAAGTTTATGATTACTCTGAGCGTTTTGTTGGGTTTTTCATCACTCTAACCTTGGTCTTGAGGTGAGTGCATCTGCTTGCTCTCTGACAGGGAAGGGAGTCTGCTGGTCCCTGAGATTCTGGTCTGTCACTGTGATTTCCGTCCTGCTCCTCAGCGCCTGTTTCATCACCGGATGTGTGGGTAAGTTCTTCACTGATGTGGGGTCTCTTTTGGGCTCTTTTCTGTTCTACAGATACTCACAGGGGCCATCCCCCCCATTAACTGGTCAAATCTTACATGTAATACCATGTTTTTTGTTGATTTCTCTTCTTCATCCTTTTCTTTCCATTTTTTGATCACTGAGACATTTAAGTTAGCACATACTATTTAGTCACCGTCGTCGTGACAGGGCCATCCAGCATGGGCTCACCAGCAATCACTTCCTCTGGTCTCAACCCCTCTCTACTGGGAGTGCAACTCCAGTGGATTTCATAATGTCGGCAGTTTATAGTCCTTGATTCATACGGGACGTTTTTTTCAATATGAGAGGGAAAAGCAGCCACATTAAATGATGGAGATTGAAGAAATAAAACGTTTCTTCCCTGTTCACCTGCTCACAAAACTGCGTCACAGTCTCCGGTGTGAGAGGTTTGGATGGTGTTCTTTGCAGTCTACTTTGCTTGCTGTGAAGATGATCACACAGTCCGGGAGTGGGAATGGCTTACACCAAGAACTTCATGTCTGCAGTGTGCTCTGAGATGAGACAAACATCATTCCATTCTCACCAAAGCAGGATGGGCTCTCGTCGGCACAGTTAAGCCTAAGAAGGTGGTTTGTGCTGGTTAAGGATAGATATTTTTTTCCACTCTTTTTTTTAAATTTTATTTTCCAGTTTAAATTTAGATAAGAAACAAGGTTGCTTCACAAGTCAGCTCCAGGTCCCTCTCCCTTTCCCTCTCCTCCTCCTGTGCCCTCCCCCCACCCCCCCCCGTTATCCCCTCATTCCCCCAGGGAGGGTGAGGCCGTCCATGGGGGTGTCCATAGTCTGTCATTTCATATAGGGCAGGGCCTAGACCCTTCCCCAAGAGTTCAGGGTGAGAGTGCACCTCACATTGTTCTATGGGAGTCCAAAGTCCGTGTGTATACTCGGGATGGGTACTGATCTGCTGCCCAAGGCTCAATAGATTCCCTAGGCCTCCTCACTGACACCCAGATTCAGGGGGTCTTGATCAGTCCCATGCTGGATTCCCAGGCTGATGCCTGGGATTCAAGAGTTAACCTTTGTCTGGTCAGCTGTTTCTGGGGGTTAAACCAGCCCAGTCTTAATCCCTTTGATCATCAGTCCTCCCTCTCTGTTACTGGCTTTCTTGAGTTCAGCTCAGTACTTAACCGAGGGAGTCTGCCTCTTCTTCGATCAGCCATTAAATGAAGTTTCTGTTTCCCAGACTCTCTGGCCATAGGATTGAAGGCTGGCACTCCCCAGATTTATGTCTAAAATCCATATATGAGAGAGTACATGCCATGTTTCTCTTTTTGTGACTGGGTTACCTCACTCAGGATGGTTTCTTCTAGTGTCATCCATTTGCCTGTGAATCTCATGATTCCATTATTTTTTTCTGCTGAATAGTACTCCATTGTGTATATGTACCACATTTTCTCTATCCACTCTTCGGTTGAGGGACATCTAGGTTGCTTCCAAATTCTGGCTATTACAAATAAAGCTGCTATGAACATAGTGGAACAGACATCTTTGTTGTATGAATGGGCAAAAAGAAACAGAAGTTCAGGACCCAAAGCACAAACTAGAAATGTAGAAATATTTGCTGAAAATATTGAAGAAAGTCTGTTTTTGCTAATGTTGTTTAATGGGCACACTCATGAACAAAATGCTAACTTTAAAACATTAAATCTTATTTATTCATTGAAATTTTTGTACTTACATATAATGTATCTTGACCATATCCACTCCAGATGTTTAAAGTGTGCCTTCCTATTCAGGAGTGGTTAGGATATGTTAACATACCTGGTGGTCTTGTTTCAAACCTGTTTAAACAAAGGGGACCAGGCATTGGTGAGCCAACAGGACCTGTGGCAGTTCCCTGATGCAGGAGTTTGTGCTTAATGGTTGTGGATGATGAAATTTCTGCTCCAGAAAACAAAGCTGATGTTATAGTTGGAGAAAGGAAAAAAACTAATGAGATGTAGAAACAAGCAGTATAAGAGAATACAGGGGAGTAATAATTTTGTCTGGTCTTCAGTGGTTTGCCTGGAGGAGGGGTCGGGGAGGTAGAGTGGAGGTGCACCAGCCTGGTCCAGGTAGAGGACATGAGCTTCCAGGATGACTATGTGGATACTCGTCCTTTCTCTCTCCACAGTGACTTACCAGTTTGCAATGGACAAGCCTGATACAAGACTGTCTGAACTTCATGCACACCATTCCAATCCCACCTGCCTCAGTGAAGGGACAAGGGTGTCAGGTGATGATTCACAATGCGTTTCCAGAGAGAGAGAGAGAGAGAGAGAGAGAGAGAGAGAGAGAGAGAGAGAGAGGGAGGGAGGGAGGGAGGGAGGGAGGGAGGGAGGGAGGGAGGGAGGGAGGGAGGGAGGGTGGGAGGGAGGGAGGGAGGGAGGGAGAGACAGACACAGAGACAGAGAGAGAGAGGGAGAGAGAGGGAGAGAGAGGGAGGGAGGAGGGAGAGAGAGAACTACTAGGGATGAGCTTAAGATTTATTATAGTGGCACATGTGTGTGTGTGTGTGTGTGTGTGTGTGTGTGTGTGTGTGTGTGTGTTGTATGATGTTTAAACTTGGATACTACTAAGGTTTCTCTAAACTTACACTTTTAGTTCAGGTTCTGGATACATCCAGGAAATGATTCAATTCAATTCTCAGGCATCTTGCTTTGGGGAAATACTATCAAAACACAACATGTATTTTGTCAGACTCTGGAAGTCATTCATAACCTTTTCCATGAGTTTTACATTCAATGTATAAAATTCTTTTTGATACTTAAGTTTCTCAGCTAACACTACCCATCTCCACTCCAAGTACCAGCTTTATTACCAGGAAAACCGACTCAGCCTGAGCCAGCCATTGTCCATAACGCATAAATAGCAAATTCATCTGTGGAGAGTTGGGAGTCGAATTGAGTATCATGTCTGCCTTGCCTCTGTGTGATGATGGGTGTTAAAGGCCGTCATGTGCTTGTCTATAGTTTTCCTTAGGTTCTTAGTCTTTACACATAAAAGAAACACCATTTAGACAGATGTCAGGGTCCTGTCTCTAGAACTGATTTACTCACCATGCCACCTCTGTGGAGAATCCGTTAAGCAAGGACAGACATGTGCCTAGGAGGTGCTGGGATTTTCCCTTTAAGTTATTGGTCAGGGTATGTTGTATGGTAATACAAAAGTGTTGTCAGCTTGCCCTGGCCATGATTTTCTTAGCATACTGAATTTCTTTAGGTCAAATGACTATGGAGCTGATTTATTCCTAAGGAAAACAACTCCATTAGGATAGTCTTTCTCCCATTTTTTTTCAGAGAAACTTATACAATAATAGCTCATATACCTAGTTTGAGACAAGGTTTCACATATAGCCTAGGAAGGGATGAACTCCTTAGATAGCCTATAGTAGCTCGTCCTCACCATCCCTCTGAGTGCAGAGATTATAGATGTGCTGGACCACACCAGGCTACAATTGCAGTTTTAGAGAAAAACTTCCTGGAAAGGAGAAATGGGCATTTCACCTTTAGAAGATTCTGAAATGAGACAGAAGTGAATTTTAATGAAAAACTTAGTGTCCATTCATAAACACATCCCCTAAGCATATCTAGCTTAAAATTATGGCCAAACAGGCTATTTGGTATAATTCATTCTATTTGTAGATAAGTTTATGTGGCAAAATTATATAACACCATATCAGAAAATAAAAATAGCAGACATTTGGACAATGCTCTTTTGAATCAATACAATAAAAACAAAACTTAAAGCAAAAATGTTTTTATTTTGTCACTCATGGTAATGCATGCTTGCAATCCCAGCACTTGGGTGGCAGAGGCAGGGAGCTTCCTGTAGTTCTGAATTCAGTCTGGTCTAACCCAAGAGTTCCAGGAATGCATAGTGAGATTCTGTCTCAAAGAAAAACTTAGTTGGGTGTGGTAGCCTGGACTGGCAACTGTGGTATTTTAGAGTTTGTAGAATATCTGCCCAGGCCCTTATAGCTTTCAGCGTCTCCAATGAGAAGTCAGGGGTTATTCTAATGGGTTTGCTTTATAAGTTACGTGGTCTTTTTCCCTTACAGCTTTTACTATTTTTTCTTTGTTCTGCATGTTTTGTGTTTTGATTAATATGCATTGCAGGGAATATCTTCTCTGATCTGGTCTGTTTGGTGTTCTGTATGTCTCTTGTCCTTTGACAGGACTGTCCTTCTTTAGGTTGGAGACATTTTCTTCTGTGCTTTTGCTGAAAATATTTTCTGTGCCTTTGACCTGGGTTTCTTTTCCTTCTTCTATTCCTCCTAGTCATAGACTTGGTCTTTTTCATAGGATCCCAGATTTCCTAGATGTTTTATGCCTGGATTCTTTAGATTTAACTTCGTCTTTGACTGGGGTATCCATTTCTTCTATCCTGTCTTCAGGGCTTGAGGTTCTCTCTTCCGCGTCTTGTGATCTGTTGGTGAGGCTTTTTTTTTTTTTTTTGACTTCTTGAATTATATATTTCCAGTTTTATTTCTGGGTTTTACTTAGTGATTCTATTTTTACTTTCATGTTGTAGGTTGTTTTTGTTATTTTATTCTACTGTGTGAATTTCCACAGACTTCAAACTCAATGATAGATTTTTTTGTTTCATATTGCTTTATTTGGGCATTAAAAAATCTTACTGGCCCTTTGTATTATGGGTTTCAATTTTGTGGTTTTTATGGGTTTTTTCTTTGCATCAGTTGAGTGTCTCTCTCTCTGGGGTTTTTTTTGTGTTTTTCTTCTATTTTAAATTCTGTTCTTTAAGAAAAACTGCCTCTTTGTTTTCTAAAGAAAGAGGGAACAAAGGTGTGGAGTTAATTGGGAATGGAGGATCTGGGAGGAGATGGGGCGAAGAAACCATGATCAGAATATATTGTGTGAAGTTATTTTCAATTAAAAATAAAACAAAAAATAAAATTAGCTGATAAAGACCACAAAAATGTCCACTTTGGTCACAGTTAAAAGAGAATTGGAAAACACACTTTGTCTTCCCCAGATCCTTCCTACTTAGTGAGAGTGCAATGAAGTTTGGATGCTTGAGTTAGAGCATGAGTCTATGCTCTGCATTCTTAATAATCAATAAACGATTGTTAAGGTTGCTGAATGTTTGATATTGGGTAAAAATTAGTGAGAAGTACAATTTATGGAGCAATTATTTTGAGTTAAGTATTGTTTAAAAAGATTCAGAGATATTATGTGATTAAATAACCCAGGAGGTTAGTACTGCTCTCAACATCAATTCCATAGTCCCAGATGACATGTTCAGAGAACAGTAAATGTTGTAATTATGACGAGAAAGCAATTCTGGTGAGCAGCCTCACATCCTTGGAGTTGTGTAGAACACTAAGAAGAACATGTATCCTTAATCTTATTTGTCTCCCCCTGTGGTCACACTTCTCGTTCATGTCACAGAAAAGATGTGGGGATGCTGCCCCAGTAACTGGAAGTCATTTGGCTCCAGCTGCTACCTCATTCCCACCAAGGAGAACATCTGGAGCATCAGTGAGCAGAAGTGCTTCGAGATGGGGGCTCATTTGGTGGTGATCAACACGGAAGCCGAGCAGGTAGCTCTTTCTCATTTTTCATTAGCCTTTTAATTGTAGGAAAATGTAGCCAGATTTACTAAACTCGATCATTTTTAAATTTATCATTAATTAACTAGTTAATTAATTTTTCCCAACCTGATCACAGTTTCTCTTCCCTTCCTCCTCTCCTCCTGGACCCTCCCCACAATCTTCCCTCTTCACCCAGCATCATTCATTCATTCCTTCTCTTTCCTCGTCAGAAAAGGGCAGGTCTCCCGTATATTTCAGCCAGCCACGGCATATCAAGTTGCAGTAAGACTAGGCTCCTCCTCTCCTACTAAGGCTGGACAAGGCAACCTGCTAGGAGGAAAGGATCCCAAAATCAGGCAACAGAGTCAGAGACAGCCCTGCCCCCACTGCCAGCTTGTTCGTACAAGAAGACCAAGCTACACAATCGTAACACACATGCAGAGGCAATGGCTAGTAGTGATTAGTATGTTCACCAAACACACATGGTAGAATAAAATAACAAAACAGTCTGCAGCATGAGCATAAAAACACCAAAGAATCACCAAGTAAAACCCAGAGATAGAAATCCCCTAGAACTTTTTTGTCTTGTGAAATTGGAAGTCCTTGAACAAAAACTGTCCACTTCCCAATTCATAAAGGGAAACACTCCTCTACTTCCCCATTTTTTAAATGAGTTTGATTACTTTAGATTCTTCATGTAAGTGGAATCATGTATGCACGCGTGAGTGTGCGTTTGCATGCCTGCGTGTGTGTGTGTGTGTGTGTGTGTGTGTCTAGTTTATTTCATTTGTCATGGTGTCCTCAAGGTTCATCCATGTTGTAGTATATGACAAAATTTTCTTTCATGTTAAGTCTGAATATTCATTTACTTCCTCGTTTTGTTTTATATGATTTTTCACTAGGTATCTTAAAGAGTAACTGACAGAAAAAAATGCATATATTTCCAGGGTACAAAGTGATTATTTGCTGTGTGTGTGCATTGTGGACAGAATGCTCAAATCCATTATATTCATGTATGTATGTGTGTGGTGAGAACATTTAAAATACCACTTTCCCTCCATTCCTTAAGTGGTTTTCATATAGATTGCTCCCATTCCATGGCTGTTATGAATAGTGAGTGCAGTGAACATAGTTGTGTAAATATCTCCTTTAGATCCCACTTTTTAAAAAAGTATTTATTATTTCACAGTTTCATTTGTATATAAAGTCCTTTGGCCAGAATGCCCCTCATCATTTTCCCTTATCCCCCTCCTCTCCCGCTGCACCTCCTTTTCTTTCCAAGTTTCCCTCTCTATCATTTTTTTGGGGGGGAGGGGATGAGACTCATATTTCAATAGCATTCCCTGTCTGAGCATGAGTGTGCAGCCACCTCTGAGAAATAGGACTCCTTTTATATCAGCAACTGTTAAAGCTCCTCAGGAAGGGATGGGGTCTTACAGCCCCTCCCACACCATGATGGAATATTGATGGACCGCCTTGTATGCGTCTTTCACAGGTAGCCTTTGCTGTTGTGAGTTTCGGCTCTTGTGTTCTTTTCTCTGTGCCGTGTTCCCTGAACTTGGGGTGCTGTGGTGTAGACATCCCGTTGAAGAGCACTGACCAGTTATGAGTCTCTGCACTGACCATCACCCACTGCAAAGAGGAGCTCTCCCGAAGCCTCCATCTTATAAGGAGGTATCTCAGACAAAACACTAGGATTTTTGTTGAATGACTTATGGAGCACCTATGCCCATGGTGGTTAATTTTTCAAGCTCCATTTTTAAAATTGTATTTTTAATTGGCTTACCCAACAGCAGGTTTCCACATGACTTTTTCACCCACCCTTAGTGTTGGCTAACCCTCCCCCACCCATGCGTCTCCCTCATCACCTACCACACTCTCTCAAACCTTTACATTTTGGTATTTACTCCATTTACTTTCACAGTACCTTGGTTCTGCTATCCCTCCTCCTTTAAGGCATTCCCTCCCTTCCCCACCAAGGGTTCCTTTCTAGTTTCCTGGACTCTGTAGGTACTCTAAGTTAAGCATAAATCTAAAAATTCCAAGATAGGATCTCCACATTTGGCATTTGTCTTCCTGGACCTAGATTATCTCAGTAATTTTTTCCCATCCCATTAATTTACCTGCAAATTTCACTATTTCATTTTCTTTGCAATTCCATAGTGCACATGTATCGCATTTTCATTATCCATTTTCAGTTGATGGGCATCTAGATCAGTCTTAGCTATTGTTCGCAGAGCAGCAATGGACACGGATGAGTAAACTCCTCTGTAATCGAATCCTCCAGGTGTGACCAGGAATGATATAGTTGAGTCAAGTAGTGGCATTTCTAGTTTTAGTGTTTTGAGAAACCACCAAAATTAAATATTTCTCTTTCCCCATATCCTTGTCAGTATTTGCTTCCTTGATGATAGCTGCTCTGGTTGGGATGATTCTGAATCCCAAACTTGCTGTAATTTGCCTTTCCCTGATGACCAATGATGTTGAACCCTTTTAAGCTGATCATTTCGTACATGAGTGCATGAGTATTTGTAGTGCTCCCATCCTTTCCTGCTCCCCGTTCCTTCTATTGAACAGCTTTTAATATTTCTGTTGGCCATTTGTATATTTTCTTTGGAAAAATGTCGGCTCAAAACTCCCCTCCCCAGTTTTTAATTGTGTTATTTCTTTTACTTTTGTTGGTTGATAGGTATTCTTTATTTATTTTGGATATTAGTCCCTTATCAGATATGTGGCCTGAAAATGTCTGCTTTTTTATTTTATTTATTTTTTAAAATTTTTTCTTTGTTGTGAAAAAGCCTTTTAGTTTGATGTATTCCTTTGTCTATCTATTTTTATTTTGCTGCCTGTTCTATTGATATCATGTCCCAGAATACCTTGCTAATTCCAGTGTATAAAACCCTTACTTTGGATTTTCTTCAAAGACTTTATAACTTTGCACCATTCATTTGAAGCACCTTGAATTGACTTCTGTATGAAGAATGGAAGAATGGACTAGCTTTGTTCCTTTCCCAGAGTGTTCATTAAAGAGTCTGTCCTTTCCCCATCGTGTGATCTTGGTGCTTGGCCAGAGATCATTTGACTATACATGTGAGTTTATTTATGCACTCCAGGAAAATGGAGTCTCTCCACTGTGTGCTATTTGGTTTCCCAGAGGACTGGCTGTCCTCTGGGTTAAGCTTATTCTTACGTATTTTACTCTTTTTGAAGTTATTGTAAAGAGTCATTCTCTTTTCAGATTGGTTTTGTTGTTGCTTGTGTTAGTGTAAAGAAATGCTGCTGTTTTTTGTATGTTGATTTTTGTATCCTGCAACTTTGCCGAATTTGTTGAAGCCCCAGGGAAACCATTGATGTATCTCCAGTCATAGTTCAAAGGCCTGAGATCCAGGGTCATCAGAAGGCTGTCTCTACCCAAGCAGACAGGCAGGAAGCAAAAGAAGAGGGACTCCTGTTTCCTTTGATGTTTGTTCTGTTCAGGCCATTAAATGTTTGGATGATGACTACCGATGTTGGAGGGCAAGCCAGCTTACTGAGATCACAAATCTTGTGGAAACACATTACAAATATATTCAGAAATGATGTTTTAATCAGGGTGTCCCTTGGCCTTGCCAGATAGAGACATAGTATCATAATACCTAGGCACATAACATTTTAAAAGAGTTTAAATTAAAAAAATAACCTCATGGGATTAGAGATTATCCTTTTACTTGGTGAAGAATGATTGATGAGCGTTCATGGGCTCTGGCCGTCTGGTATTTTTGGTTCCTGTGCTACTGGTTCAAATGGCCATTCTTTCATTTGTGTTTTCTTCTATGACTGTGAAGTCTGTAAAGAATGCTTGCCCTGTTTAACACGGACATTCCCAGTTGTTAACTCCCTTTCATTCATACAGAACTTCATCACCCAACAGCTGAATAAGTCAGTTGTTTACTTCCTGGGGCTTTCTGATCCACAAGGTAACGGCAAATGGCAATGGATAGATAACACTCCTTTCAGTAAAAGTGTCAGGTGAGTGCAGTCCTGGGTTAATGAACCATTGGGATTATTTAGGTTGAAAATTGAGGGAAATTTTGCTAGCAGTAACTATTAATATTAGTGGTTATAAGACACTAAGTTTTCACTAAATGTATGCGTAATTTCATGAAACTTCTCTTTTAGAAATTTACTTTATGTATTAAATATTGAATAATAACATCCTCAAGATCAATAGATCAATAAAATGAGAAATTGCATTTAACCCAGTATCTTCCTGACTTTAAAGATGTTCTCAGCCATTAGATTTTTCTACCTTTAAACACAAGTAGAGACTTAAATTAATTTATTGGTCTCCAATAAATAAAATTTAAAATAACTGGTTCAGAATTATGACAAATAGAATAGCTACATAATAATACTTTTGTTATTTTTAAGTGAAGTTATTGATATATTACCTTATTTCATCCTCATGCAATCTTGTGAGTTACTTTGAAACCTTTACTAAATGTATTTCTAGTTTTTATGATTTCCATTTTATACATGAAGAATTTAAAATAAAAAATGGTAAATTGCTTGATCAGGGTTAAGGTGAATTAGAAGTTAAACAAGTGTTTTATTTATTTATTTTATTAAACACAGATATTTTTCTCATACAATATAATCTGACAATAGTTTCCCTTCCCTCTATTCTTCCAAGTTTCTCCACACCTCCTCTCCCATCTGTATCTACTCCCTTTCTGTCTCTCATTAGAAAAGAACAGATTTCTAGGAGATAACAATAAAACATAACAAAATAAAATATAATAAGGTAAAATGAAAACCATCACATCAAAGTTGGACAAACCAAGCCAACAGAAAAATAAAAGAGCCCCAAGAGAAGACACAAGAATCAGAGACCCCCTCCAGATGCATTCATAAACAAATCCCATAAAAGTACTAAGCTGGAAGATATAGTATATATGCAGAGGACTTAGTGCAGACCCCTGCAGGTCCTGTACATGCTGCTTCAGAACTCTATTAGTTCATGGAGTTTTGCTCATGTTGGTTTAGAGGACTTTGTTCTCCTGATGTCCTCTGTCCCCTTTGTCACCCCCACTCATTCCTTCTCTTCCACATTGGGTTGGTTCCCTGAGCTCTGGGGTGAAGGATTTGACTGGAAATATCTTGTTTAGAGCTGTGTGGTCCGAGGTCTCTCTCTGTGTAATCTCTAGCTGTGGTCTCTGTATTTGTTTCCATCTGAAGCCTCTCTGACAATGGCTGAATAAAGCCCTGATCTATGAGTAGTGCAGAATATCATTAGGACTCATTTTATTGTTACACGTATTTGTTTTAAGACCACTAGCATTTGGTTTCTCTTTAGTTAAACAAGTATTTTAATTCAAAAAGTAAGGCCCATCCCTACCTCTCTCCCCTTCTACAGTCCTCAAAGGAGGCAGATAATTCACATCCAGTCAGGAAGCCGATGGTAGGAGGCAGCCTCTGTGAATGCCAAAGAAAAAAGAACTTTCACTAACTTAAATCACAATGAGAGATGTTTGAAGAAGAGAAAGTAAATATGGGGTTGCAGGGGAAAGGTCGAAGTGTACCACATCAGAAAAAAAACCTATGTAGAGCTGACTGTATTTGGCATTTTAGAAGTGGGTTGTGTGAGAGAGGGGAGAAAACGCTGGAATCCTCTCTCATCCTCAGCTCTGTTCCACTCAACCTTAAACTCGACCTTTCAAGCAACCGCTGCGCACCCGTGGAGGAGTTACTTCCGTCTTGTGTTTCCTGCAGGTTCTGGCACCCAAATGAGCCCAATCTTCCCGAAGAGCGATGCGCTTCGATTGTTTACTGGCATCCTATGAAATGGGGCTGGAATGATGTGTTCTGTGACAGTAAATATAATTCAATATGTGAGATGAGGAAGACTTACCTATGAGCGGCGTTTTGTTCATTTATACCTTCTCTCGGCATGTCCACGTGACCGTAGCCATCCTTTTCCTAGATGTTCCTTTTCACTGACGACAGGACATGTCCTTCCTGTCTGTGACCGTCAGAGTTTTGTCAATTGGATACAACCTAGAGTCACCTGAGGGACCCCCAGCTAAGGAGGTGCCTCCGTCAGACTGACTTGTCTGTGGGGGCATCTTCTTGATTAATGGTTGTTGTAGGAGGGTCCTGTGGGTGCTGGGTGGGTGGTCGTGGGTGATGTCAGAAAGCAAGCGGAGAAACGCATGGCAAGCAAGCCCGTAAGCCCCTTTGTCTCTGCCCGAGGCTCTGACTTCTTTCTACAATGAAATGTTGTTACTTGAAAGTATAAGATGAAATAAACCATTTTTTCCAAGTTGTTTTTGGTCAGTGTCTCCCCCCCCCCCAGGAACAGAGAAACAAACTAGAATATCCCTTTATTCTGTTCTTTCATTTATGATTCGTGGTTTTCCTCTTTCCTTCATACTTCTACAAATATTCCTCTTTCCAGATTGTACTCTTTGGGTTGTTAGAAGATTTACAATACAACATTGATTGAAAATCACTTCATTCTTAAAACGCCATAGGAAAACCCCTGGTGAAGGTTGTGGCGGTGACTGTGGTTAGAGCCTTAACCATCCGGGGATCGAACAGGAGCTCAAAGCGGCTTTCTCGGTGCTTACTCTCGTGGATGGCCCCTCGGTGCTGACTATTTCTGGTCAGCCCCTCACATATGGGAATCTCCGCAAGGTGGCTAGCGTGTACTCAGAACCACCTTCCACTTGAGAAAGTGATCTAAAAATCTAAAGCTGTGGTTTTTCATGAGGCAGCTTCAGAATTTACATGCAACTTCCGCTTCACACAGCCGAAGACGGCAATATCCCTAAGTGTCAATAACGGGGACTTCTTGGAGCCTGGTTATCCCAGCCCTCTTTGAGAAACAAAGCAGGCATAACAAGAAGGGATAGAACTAAAAGTTCTTTGATACAGTGAACTTCAGTTTTTCAAAACGAGGAGAAAAATTTCCAAACACTTATCAATAACACAGTGTTAGTACAAAGGATATATAAGCAGATATTATATGAATTAGAAAAAGACAAAATGAATAAGATAGTTGAACAAACATGCCATCGAGGAATAAATACATTCAGTGCCGGTGCCATGTTGGAGGAGCAGCGGATGGCAACAGCCTTCAGGGGGCCTGCCCACCAGGAAACCAAGCCCTGATGGGCGAATCTCAGATAGACGAGGCCCGGAGAGCTTTGGCTCCAGAGCGCTTCTTGCTACTGCTGTGTCTTTGCATGTTTGCCGATGCCTTTTTTCTCTGGTATCTGGTGTCGTGGGAATGGGTGTGGGGAGATCCCTACTGCCCTTAATGTGGTATGATCCTCTTTTGGAAATAGCCCATTCTGCTGTTTTTACCTGTGGATGATTTTGAAGATGATTTCCCCCTAAGCTGTACTGTTTAACTGAAGCAATAACTTTATATAATATAGTGTTAGTTTAAATAGGATTTTAATGATAGAGGGTCTTTAATTAATATAGTTAGGGATTATGATAAAGGTTAGTCTAGTGGAAAAATTAATGTAGGCAAAGGTAGGATAAAATGTTGCCCCTGCCTCTGATAAACCTGAGGCTGCACAGGATAAAAAATAAAACAAGGAAGTGTCACACAGCTAGAACACATGAGTTTCTATGGACGAGCTATATAAACTGTGGCTTAGGTTAATGAATTAGGAAAACAACTGGGTACCAGTAGTTCAGCTCGCTTAAGTTCTTTTAATCTTAATGTTGGGAGATGTGTTTACAGGTTTCAGAGTGCATCATAGCTAAAACAATGTTTTGATAACAACCTAAGGCTGGACTAAGATGTTTTTGTCAAATAGCTTTGAGGTGAAAAATCCAAGAAGATAATCTAAAGTTCATAAGGACATGTATCTGAATGATAGATTTATTAAGGTTAGGGATCAAAAACAAAGCAGCCCAATTATTATTAGCGGATGTGTCTTCCTTCTTACCCATTTCTGCCTTCAATTTTCTGATATAAAAAAACTACTGATGAGTGGTTATGCACCCTAAAGATTTAAAGTAGAGCTGACTGGTTGTTTTTCATGTATAAAAGTTTAGATTTGGGGTTCTTTTTAACATTCCTTACAAGATTACCTTTCAGGATAAGTAATTGATTCTTTCTTTGTAACTGCATTATTCCCCTGCCAGTAAAAGAAAACTGCCTGAGAATAAACCCTCCTTGCTCGCACTATGTTAGTCTATAACAAGTTACTTAGAAGTAAATGTATGTGGGTTCTTGGGATGACTTTCTTTAATTATGTAAGGGAAATGGGAAACATGTTTTTGTTTTTTAAACCTGTATTCATTATAATCATTCACTTGAAAATATAATCTAACCACATTGCAATTTTTATATTGCTTGTAAGATTCTCTTGGGGTATATAAGCTGTAAGGGAAAAATTAAGTTAGTTAGAAGGAAAACATCAAGAATGAGAGAAGGAAAACACTAGGCAAGATGTAGAGGAAAAATAAGAATAAAGGAAAAGTCAGAAGGAAACCACCAAGAGTGTCTGTGTGTCTTTCTCCTTATTCCTTCAGATAAAAAAGTCTTAGTTCACCAACTCTGGGGATCTCCATTGAGCCCTGTGATGCTGGAGGCTGGTCTTCATGGAGGCAGTAATTCAGCAAATATTTTATAGAAATATTCAGTTTCACTTGTAATTTGGGAGCTACACATCAAGATTAGAATACATCATACTTATTTTGCATGCTTCCTTGTTATGTGTATATGTATATGGAAATGTTCGTGTGTGTGTGTGTGTGTGTGTGTGTGTGTGTGTGTGTGCATGTAGGTATGGAGGCCAGAGGTAGATGTTGGGTGTTTAATTTTTTTCCCACCATATCTTTAGAGAGAAAGTGAGCCCTGACCTCACTGGTTTGACTAGACAGGCGGGACAGCAAGCCCCGGAGGTCCTCCTGTCTCAGTGCTTGGGATTATTGGCAAGTACCACTGTGCTTGGCTTTTTGTTTTTGCATGAGTGCTGGGCATCTGAGCTTAGATCCTTATGCTTGTACAGTCAGGACTTTATCAATTGGGCCATTTCCCCAGTTTTTATACATATATATCTTTTTTTTTTCCAGACAATGTCTCTCTATGTAGACCAGGTTGGCCTCAAACTCACAGAGATCCTCCTGCCTCTACCTCCAGAGTTCTGGGATCATAGATATGAGCCACCACAGCTGGCCACAAATACATCTTAATGGAAAAACTGGAGACAGTTTAATACCAACTGTTGGGGACATGTAGGTCAATGCAATACATTAATACTTCGCTACTTTGAGTTAGCTTTGGCACCTCTGCCTAGGAAAGTTGATGAATACGCATTTTCATATATAAACATCACCCAGCTCTAGGTTTATGATGTATGCATACTGAAAGGTAAAGGGGAAAACTGTAGGGATAATTTCTAGGGTGCAAATATCAGTCATAGATCTGGTAGGGAGAGAAATCAAAGCACGACAAGCACAGAGCTCTGTTTAATGGTCACCCCAGAATGGAAAGATGAAAATGAGGTGTGAGAGCACATGAGCCTATGACAGAAAAAAAGTCTAGTTTCTGTGCTGGTTCATGATGCTCTTGCAACAAACACCAAGCGGAATAAAACCAGGGTCAAAAGAATAGTGTCTGATGAATCAGAAATCAGCAAAATGTGAGAGATTATGACATGTATGTAACACATATAGGACACACACACACACACATCTATACACAGTTGGCTGCTAAACTTCTTTCAAGGCATGCCATAGAAAATAGTATTTTCTAATTCTTCCCCTAGCAATGCCATGACTTTTCTTTCCCAACTTCATGTGCTCTGTTCCCCACTTCCCAGTCCACTTAGTGCTGTCTGTAAGTGCATCCATGTGGGCCCATCTACTGGAGCATGGTTAGCCTCACAGGGGCTACATCCCTGGAAACAAAATGGACTCTCTTCCTCCAGCAGCCTTCACTGTCAGCAGCTTGTAAGCGAGGGCTGACCCCTAGGGAGAGCCTTCCATGCTTGGAGAGGTCTTGTGCAGGTAGTCACAATTGCTGTGAGTTCATGTATGCAGTGACCTGTTTCTCAGCCGTCACCCACTACTTCTGCCTCTGACAATATTTCCACCCCATTTTTCATGGTGATCCTTGAGCCTTGGGGGTAAGGAGTGTGGTATAGGTGTCCAATTTAGGACTGAGAATTCTGTAGTCTCTCTCTGTCTCTCTCTGTTTCTGTCTCTCTCTCTCTGTCTCTGTCTCTGTCTCTCTCTCACACACACTTTTTTTTTCACATAGGGTGTCTGGCTGACCTGGAACTCATTAAGTAGACCAGTCTGAACTTAAATTCTCTAGTTCCTCCTGTCTCTGCCTCCTTGGTTTAATTCTTATACATGTAACTATCCAGTTTGACTAGCACTGTTTTTGAAGAGGCTGTCTTTTTGCTAGTGTCTACTTTTGACTTCTTTGTAAAAAAAATTGAGAGTGTGGACTGATAGCTGAGTCCTCAGTTTTACTCCACTGATAAATAAGTCTATTTTTATGTCAGTATCATGCTGATTGTATTACTATAGCTCTGTCATATAACCTGAAACCAGGAAAGGTTATTCTTCCAGCATTGTTCTTATTCAGGGTTGTTTTGGTTGTCCTGGGTCTTTCGTGTTTCCATATTAACCTTAAGATTATTTTTCCAATTTCGGTGAAGAACTGCATTGGCATTTTGATAGTTATTGTATCACCACTGCAGATTGCTTTTAGTAGGATAGCCATTTTTACAGTATTACTCTGTGGTGATATATATGATTTAATAGAGCTTGTCTGGAGATCAGAAGGCAAATCTAGCCACAGCTATAGAAGCTGGGTGGTGGTGGCACACACCTTTAATCCCAGGGCTGGGGAGGCAGAGGCAGATGATCTCTGTGAGTTCTAGGCCACCCAGTGCCACATGAGAGTGAATCACTCTAAAAGAGAAACAGAGCTCACACCTTTAATACCAGCACTAGAGAGGTATATAAGGAAGAAGCAGAGTGTCTTATGGGAGATTCAGTTTCCAGTCACAGGGAAGACAGGGTCTCCATTTCAGCCTTGGTAGATATAAGAACACTTGGCTGACTACTTTGCTTTTCTGACTTTCAGTTTGAACCGTAATATCTGTCTCTGTGTTTTTATTATCCATGTTACATTAATCCTACCAATCTGTGAGCATGGGGAGGGAGGGTTTCTTTCCATGTTCTGGTATTTTCTTTAGTGTCTTAAAGTTTTCATTCTGTGGTTCCTCCCTCTCTTCCTCTTCCTCCCTCCCTTCCCATTTTACCCTCTCTACCCCTCCCTTCTTT